GAGCAGGCGAAGAGTCAGGGCTGCAGAGGAGGAGGGGGAAAGGGAGAAGGAAGGCGGGTCGGACTCGCCGCCGAGCCCGCCACAGGCCCAGCGAGGCCGGGAAGGAGCGTGCGGGGGCCGACGGGGCCCGACGGGGCCGAACAGCCGGGATCCCGGCGCGGCCGAGGGCGCGGCTGGAGATCGGAACCGGCCAGGTAGCAAGGGCGGGTCTAAGTGGGACTATTTAGATGGCACTTCTAACATACCGACCACAGCCCATGACATACTGTCACCCCTCATCAGCACTACCATCACTATCTAGTGACCCAAAGTCCCACGGCCAAGCAGCAGCAGATCTGGGGACTGAAGCCAGGTAGCGTGGCTCCAGAGTCCCTGCTGCACAGCTTCTCCATGGGAGGAATCCTCCCAGGGCGGCGCGTAGACATCAGGTGCACTCGGGGCCGACGGCGCTGGCGCCAAAGGCCGGGGTGCATGGCATTTTCCACCGGCCTTCATTACCAGGCCCCCGAACAAGGAAGGAACTTTCACACTTCAGCGCCTCCACGAGTTTACAGTGCGTCTGACCCCATCACCTATGACACCTTGGCTACACTGAAGCTAGACTGGCCAAGCTGGCAACAGGGCTCACTCCCTTCTGTGACCCTGGCTCCTGAGCCCCTCTTATACTTCCATTTGTCCGACTGTCTCTGCCCAGCACCTCCTAGGAGGCCTGAATTGAGGCTTTGGGGCTCTTTCCTGCCTTTAGGAATTGCACTTTTATCATGGCTCCATTTGGGCTGCCACTATAGTTATCACCAAATCTGCCGTTTTACACCCAAATACAACCAAGCAGGGCCACCCACGTTTTGGCTTGTCTGTGTTAATGGCTTGTAGTACAAGGCTACTTCAAAAGATTTGTATTATCTTTAAATTTTCTTTTTCCACGAACTTTTTAAAGTACCCTCGCATGTAATACTTCAGATTGCACAGCACCTTCAGTCACTGTCTCATTTACTCCTCACAAAACTGTTTAAACATGTACACACAAACCTCACACTCAAGAACGGTAAACACAACTACCATATGACCCAGCAATTCCGCCCCTAGCTGTATATAGGTACCGGAAAAGTAATAACATACATCTACACACAATCCTGTGTATGTGAAAGCTCTGAACAGCACTATTCACAAGTGGAAACCACCCGAACATCCATCAGCAGATGAACAGATAAAATGTGGTATATTCATACAACAAAATATTATTTGGCCATAAAAAGGAATGAAATTATGACACAGGCTACATGGATGAACTTCAAATGCATCATGCTCAGTGAAAGAAGCCAGACACAAAAGGCCACATATGGTATGATTCCATTCATATGAAATATCCAGAAAAGGCAGATCCATACAAAAAGAACGTAGACCAGTGGTCACCAGGGGATGAGAGAATGAGAAGTGACTAATAAGTGGTATGGGTTTTTTTTTGAGGGGGTGGGTGATAAAAAATGTTCCAAAATTGACTGTGGTGATAGTTACACAACTGAGTACACTAAAAACCATTGTATGGTACACTTTAAATGAGCAAATTGTATGCAGTGTAAGAAATTGATTACCTTAAGATTGTGATTTGGGGCCAAAAATCTTTTTGCTAATTTGCATTTTCTAAAATCACCCTATATCAATTTATTTTTACAAAGTCATTTTTTTTTCTTAAAAGATGACCAGTAAGGGGATCTTAACCCTTGACTTGGTGTTGTCAGCACCACGCTCAGCCAGTGAGCAAACCGGCCATCCCTATATGGGATCCGAACCCGTAGCCTTGGTGTTATCAGCACCACACTCTCCCAAGTGAGCCACAGGCCGGCCCTTTACAAAGTAATTTTGAAATCTTATGAAATAGAGCAATCATGCTCATTTTATTTACAGGCCAAGCTGAATGATTTAGAAGGGGTGGAATAAACAAGTAGACCCAGAGAACTCCTAGTCCCAGGCTAGTTCTTCAGTCTTTACCACACATTCTAGAACAATTCCTAAGACAAACTGGTCACAGCTCCAAAGACTCCTGATGACCACTTATTGAAGGCAATAAAAATAAGAAATGTGACATACCAGACACATCCAGTATAATTTTAAATTTAGTTTTGAAGTTCGGGCCCATCTATCTGGCTGGTAACTTTTCTTGTATTCCGGCCACATAATTTATGTGCCCACAGCTGAAAGGAAGGGGTTGGCTCAGGGATGGCTTTTCAGGCCATCCACTATTTCGTAGGGAGTGGTTCATCCGCAGCCTATTACCCTTTTCCAGCTTTACTGCTGGGGGCCATTGTTCTCTCTCCTTCTGTTTTTTTTTTTAAAAAAAAAAAGATGACCGGTAAGGGGATCTTAACCCTTGACTTGGTGTTGTCAGCACCACGCTCAGCCAGTGAGCAAACCGGCCATCCCTATATGGGATCCGAACCCGTAGCCTTGGTGTTATCAGCACCACACTCTCCCAAGTGAGCCACAGGCCGGCCCTTTACAAAGTAATTTTGAAATCTTATGAAATAGAGCAATCATGCTCATTTTATTTACAGGCCAAGCTGAATGATTTAGAAGGGGTGGAATAAACAAGTAGACCCAGAGAACTCCTAGTCCCAGGCTAGTTCTTCAGTCTTTACCACACATTCTAGAACAATTCCTAAGACAAACTGGTCACAGCTCCAAAGACTCCTGATGACCACTTATTGAAGGCAATAAAAATAAGAAATGTGACATACCAGACACATCCAGTATAATTTTAAATTTAGTTTTGAAGTTCGGGCCCATCTATCTGGCTGGTAACTTTTCTTGTATTCCGGCCACATAATTTATGTGCCCACAGCTGAAAGGAAGGGGTTGGCTCAGGGATGGCTTTTCAGGCCATCCACTATTTCGTAGGGAGTGGTTCATCCGCAGCCTATTACCCTTTTCCAGCTTTACTGCTGGGGGCCATTGTTCTCTCTCCTTCTGTTTTTTTTTTTAAAAAAAAAAAGATGACCGGTAAGGGGATCTTAACCCTTGACTTGGTGTTGTCAGCACCACGCTCAGCCAGTGAGCGAACCGGCCATCCCTATATGGGATCCGAACCCGGGGCCCTGGTGTTATCAGCACCGCACACTCCCGAGTGAGCCACGGGCCGGCCCTCTCCTTCTGGTTTAGACAGAAGTGCCTTCCTTACTTAGGACTTTATCAAGGAGAAACTGAATCATATAGAAAGGACAGACTGAATAAAGCCGTTAGTTTTGAAATGCTTTATTAACTTGACTTGAACAATAGTGTGGACACCAGAAGCAGCTGTAATCTCTTCACAGAACAGTCCCTACAAGCAACCCAGGACATCCTAACAGCTTTCACTGCTACTCAGCCTCTGAACTGTGAAAGGGAGATGAAGGCAAACATCAGAGGAACTCCAGGGCAACTGCAGTCACACATTACCCAGGACGCTGCAGGTAGGACAGCAGCACATGGAATCTCAGACTGGGGACAGCAGTATGTATCACGGTGTTATAGTGCTGCAAAATCTGGGCTACAGAAGTATACAATTCAAGTCACATTTTCTTTACTTCCAAGCAAAATACACTGAAGAAACTGTTAACTCTACACAGATCCTCAACCCAGTTATCTGTAGTCTTATCAGAAAACAGTATCAGGTGGTGGTTTTGTTAGCTATTTTGTTACTTAAATTTTTGTAACACTTTAAATGACTGAAAATGACAGAAACATCTGTATATGCGGCCATGGTTTAAAAGAAAAGTAGTTATCTTGAACTTCTGAATCGGGAATAAAGAAAGATATTAACTGGCTTTGCTTTAAAGAGAACAAAGCACAGCAGTATATATTTAAAGGATAGTTTTGGAACAAGTATAAATGTATAAAGAGGCTACTTTTCTCAGACCAAAGCCGGCAAGCTACTTTAGTCCATTACAATACATTTCACGGCCACAGTGATGTGTTTTGCACTGATTCCAAACATGTCCAGCAGTTCCTGCGGTTTGCCACCCTGAGGCACTCCCGAAACTGCCAGCTGATGCACCACGATGTCACGTTCTGTGGAGACGGCTGCACAGACAGCTTCCCCAATGCCACCTAGGGAAGGAAGGGACATGAGGATCTTTTCTTGAAGCAGCTAGTCAGCCTTAAAGCCCCATTATATAGAAGCCTTTGAATTTGCTGGTTCACAGGGGGAAATTCTTCCATCAGTCACTGATTTATGAACAGTCATTCTACAAATGGCATGAAGAACTCTACTCTCATACTGAACCGCAAGGCTCCAGATTGCTCCCACCCCCACCTATAGCAGGGGCTGCTCTCACCCTGGGATCCATGGGGGGGGGGAATCTGTGGTGCTGATTCTCAAAGCTGTCAGGGACTCATCACATCTTTCTACCCTTCTACCTGACCTTCCCAGCCCCTCTTCCTGGCACACACTCCTTTTCTGCATTTGCTGTGTTCTCTGCTTGCAAGGCACTATTCCCACTTTTTGGGGTGGGGCAAACTGTTAATCATTCAAAATTCAAAAACTGTCAAGCTTTTCATGAATTCTCCCTGTGCACAATGCTGAGGTCAGCCACTTTTCTGTGTTGCCACTGACCCACCCTGGTGACTGGGCACTATGCACTCTGCTGGGGACACACAAATGCATACAGGCATGGCTCCATACTAATACACGTGCAGAGAGGTATGTTGGGCAAGTGGTAGGCTGGAGGTGATGACCAAGAGAGCACAGCACATCTCCAACCAAGGAGAACAAAATCGCTTCCCATTAAAACAAAATGAAAACCCTTCCCAAGGCCTGCACACACCTTCTGGGTAGTGATCCTCCACTGTGATAATCTGGCCGCCTGTGGCTTTTGCATTGAAGATGATGGTAGCAACATCCAGGGGTTTAATGGTAAACAGATCGATGACACGGATAAAAATATCTGAAATACAGCAATAACCAGCAGGTGTATGAAGCAGACTTAGAATAGAGTATGCGGGTATATAAATAAAAAGACCAAAGTACACAGGTAGCTGAAGTTCTACCTCCCCCCACCTTGAACTTCAATGTTCGGACACAACCAACTGACCTTCTTTAGAAAGATTATCAGCAGCTTCTAAGGCTTCGTGCAGAGTAACTCCAGCTCCAATAACCGTGACCTTGTCATTGACACTTTTGCGGACAACCTGGTATAGCACCAGCAAAACAAAATGCTGTGGTTACTATGTAGAGAGTACATCTCAAAACGGAGGTGCTCTGCTACGCTCCTAATTCCCCAATCCTAACAGTTTTCACTCCTTAATGGTTCACTATAAAAAGGACTCAATCAGATGCACTTAGAAGCCAGGACACACTTTTTTTTTTGGTGGCTGGCTGATTGATACAGGAATCAAACCCTGGACCCTGGTGTTATCAGCACCATGCTCTAACCAACTGAACTAACCGGACTGCCCCAGGACACGTTCCTTTTGATATACCCCACTTTATATTGGTTTTAAAAACTCATCTACCTTCTCTCTTGATTTACAATGCTAAATTATTAAGTTCTTACAGAATACAAAAAATGACCCTTTGTCAAAGAAGGTGGATTAGTAAAAGGCAGAGAGACCAGAAGGGATTCTACCGCCCATCTGCCCTGGAGCATGGATACGTACCCTAACTTACACCCACCAAACAGCCTGGAAATGTACCACCTCTGGCCGGGTTTGAGAGCTTACTGAGGCACACACACTTCACATGTTACCAGGGAATGTGCTGGCATCTGCAACATGCTCTGCATTAAGCATCTTGCATATCTGAGCTCAGAGAATCCTAACAGCCTCCCTAAAGGTCTGTGAAGTAGCGGGACCATTCTGCAGCCAAGGAAAGAATCTCAAAGCAGGAGAACTGGCCCAAGGCAGGCTGAGGTCAAAGCTCACGTTCTCAACAACTTACCAGCAAACAAACTAATAAGCAAAGACAGAGTTCCCAAGCTTCTTTTATAGTTTTGCTTCCTCCAAAGCCACCCACACTAAAGGTATCTGGAAGTATTCATTTTATCCCTCTCTATATTTCCCTGTAGCTTAAGAACCACTGCTGATGGTACAGATATTCAGGAGTTTGTAAACCACCCCATTCTTTGAGGATGTTGTAGTCTTTTAAAGTATAAACACGTATACACGTTTCCATTCACAGACATCTATGTACCCTTTGCAAAACCCAGCACTTTAATTATCCATGCCATGCAATTTTAACTCACATCCTTTACCATCAGGAAATTTACTTCTTTTTGTCAGGACAGGGGAAATATTAGGGGAAAAAAAGAGGAGAGAGATAAGAAAGCTTTGCAAATCATACAAATGTCAAGGCACCCCCGCCCCCCCAAATGTATTAAATGTGAGAGTACAGAGAACAATAGAGCCTGTAGTTAACCCTAAAGGTGAATACTATACCTTTTCCACTCAAGTGATGTTTTCTAGCTACCTGATGGCACACGGTGGACTGTTCTGGAAATACCTGCTTTATTGTGGCACTATGTTCATTAGAACTAAGACACAGTTACTCTCAGTACTAGCAACTATGAATTTTGGAGCAGCCTAGCCTTCAACAATCAAGTTGGATGTTACCTGTTGCTCCTTCAAGAGTGGCTATAGGTATTTCATATATTTAAGAGAACTATTAATGGCATTAATAGAGATAAAAGCAGGACATAAAACTTTTCCACACAGTATGATCTCAACTGTGTAAACACACACGAACACACAACTTTTCCACACAGTATGATCTCAAGTGTCCACATACACAACATGGCAAAATGTCCGTACGCCTCACTCACTAGGTGATAGGTAGAATCACTCATTTTTTCCTATAGACTTTTCTGGTGTTCCCCATGCATAGTCCTGAGAGGCAGGCAGAACAGCAGGTGGACAGTTTGGTGTGCAGGCCCAGATCGGCTGGCCTCACTGCCTGGGCCTGAATCTTCACAAGCTGTGAACCCTTGAGCAAGCTGCTTACCTTCTCTGATCTTCATCTACAAACAGAGTTGATAATCCCAGCTTTTCAGGGCTTTTGTGAAAGCATCAGACACAGGAAGTGCTCGGCAATACCAATCTGATTTTAACAGCAGGATCATGGGCAAGGCTATATATCCTGTGTGCAAAACCAGCCTCGGGGCCACAGAATTTCCAATGCCAAGATGGTTCATGTTACCTTTTCTTCCCAGCCTTAGATATGGAAAATCTGAACCTAACATCTATTATTCATTTGAAATAGTTTCTGTTACGTTTAGCTTGAAGCTGTGATACATTACAGCCAATACACTGAAGTGCCTTCAAGTTGTTATGGGGATACCTTGTGCTAGATGTAGAGTAGTTCTCTTCACATGAAATGATACTGGATAGCACTGAAGAACTCAAATCCTTACCTTGGCCTGTCCGATCTCAAACTTTTCTTGGGGGGTATAAATAACTGCAGTTTCTGGTTGGCTGGTCCGAATGAAGCACATTCCCTAGGGCATAAATGAAAACCCAAGCCACAGTTGAGAAAATCTAAAACTAATAAACTTTAAAAAAAAAAAAAATTGGGGGGAAAGGAGAACTGAACACTTTACTAAAAACAAAGCACACACTCGAGTGAGGGATAAGCGCTCCATGGATTCTGATGCAGGCCTACACCACACGATCATTCTAGGAATAGAATCCGATGGCATTTATGAAATCATAAAACAAAACAATATCCAAGATATAGCAAGTAAAAAAAGCCAAAGTGTCTATATGTGTTATAAATGTTTAGAAAGGGAACTTGCACGATACACCCAACTGTGCCCAGGGTTCCCTGTGCAGGGGACATGGCTGCGGGTGGAGAGAGGAGTCTGGTGAGCGTTAGTTGGAGAAATTGGGACGATAAAGACTACATGATTCCGTTCCCTAGTCCCCCTTACAACTAGCTTCTAGATAGGAATTTGATTCTGTCCATCTAATGCCCTTGCCTGACATCTCAGGAGGAGTGAGGCCAAAGCCACACTCTTGCCCTTCTTAGCTGCTTCTAAGTACAAGCCAGGGCCTAGAAACCTGGGGTCCGTCTGCAGTAATGTCCTCCCACCCGCTCTCCAGCTTTCTGGATGTCAAGAGGTGGTGGCGGCAGCAGCATGGCTTCTTTGTCCCTGGCTGCAGCAAGTAGGGTGTGTCTTAAGTCTGACAATCTCAGTGGTGGCAGCGTCAATGTCAGCCCAACACTTTTATCGTTTGGGACCCTGCCTGGAGCTCACTCCTGTGACTTCATCGGCACCCTTCGTGAAACCTCTTCCTGTTTAGAATACCCGGAGGGCTCCGTTTCTTGTGCTTAGCCCCGAATGAGGCTGTCAGGTTTCGTTCAGTTTCCTTCTGTATTGTTTGAGTATCTTACAATGCAAATATGTTCATGTGCATAATCACCTGTTTCTGTAAAGGTCATATTTTTGGAAAGAATTCTAAGACCAAGATTTCCTATAATAAATATTACTTTTATGCTGAAAAAAAAATCAGAAAAAACCCAACCATCAGTACCAAACTAGTAGCAGAGCCCAGAAGCATTTTCTGAACCAGTGCCCCATAAGTACCTTATTACTGGCCGCCAGATAAACAGCACGTTCTGTGGAGACGGCATCACTTGGATAGAAAATAGTGCAGTTGGGGATGGCTCGGAACAAGGCCAGATCCTCCAGGGCCATCAGCAAGGGGCCATCTTCACCTGAGAAAGCCACGTGAGCACAATAAAAACGTGAGCACAACCCCACTAGGAACCTACCCTCTACCCCACCCCCCGCCCCGAGAGGATCAACAACTCTTATTACCGCAAGGCGCCCAAAACTGCAGCAGAGCTTTACAAAATGGCCCAGTTACAACGTGCACATAACTCATCATTCAAACTGAACTTCTGCACACCTACCTCCCTTGACATCTCACTGTAACACTTTGGGTTAAGCTCCCAACCTTTCAGATCAACAAACTGACCTGTCACTGGGCACTATGGTCCCAATTGACTTAATGCTCTCTTCTTGAAGAACTGGTGGCCTGGGCGGGCCCCACCAAGCCTCTTCTCCTAAGGAGGGTCCCCTGAGGCTTTGTTTTTCCTTCTCTGCTCTTCTGCATTGTCTACATCAGCGTGAAGTGTGGTTTTACTCATTTCTCCAGGCCTTCAAAGTAGATGAGCTTAACACACCTTTGGGGCACCCTGGTGGTGCTATTGTAACTAAGGATGCCTTTGGGTGTATTTGCGAGCAGAGTTTCTGGACAGAAACACTGTGCAAAGAGAAATCCCAAAATACACTGAGCTGAGCTCTTCTCAGCCAGGAAGGGGTCCATCCCTGTGCAACTGCGTTGCCTAGAACAACTGTCTAACCTCAGAAGCCCAGCTCCTCTCTGGACTGGACTTAGAGCCCCTTCTCCACATAGCTAACTTGATGGCAAGGACTCCTGGCCCCTTTGCCAGGCCCCCCCTGCAGTGCTGCTCTCCTCACTCTACTCTCTCCCTGGGCAACCACCTGCGCCTTCAGCTTCATGCACATGGCCTGATCTCCCAGCTCCACCCAGAACCTTCTTATCCAGTCTCATTCTCTCAGGGAGTTGCTCAGATGACTCCCAAATGTGCATCATCAGCAGTCTAGCAGCAAATGGAAGCTGTCACATCTACCTAGATGACCTGTCCCACGGCAGGCAAGTCAGGTGACTCATCATCTTTCCCACGTCCTCATTTCTGTCATTCACGAACACGAATCCCTGACATTTCCCTAACAGGGGAGTAACTCCTGGCGACTTTTTTTTCTTTTCACACAATTTTGGATCCCTCCATCTGTTAGGAACGTTTACTCCTCTCTTCAGATCCTCCCGTAATTTTCTAATGCACACCTTTATACCAGTCCCTCGCTGTTTCCTATGGTTGCCTTCTAGTCCACCCTGCCGGGGGAACACTGCTACCGTGGCTGTTATGTCCCTGCACATGTTCCTCAAGGGTCCCCACCGCCCGAAGCACGAAGGTGTGCATGGCGATCCCAGCGCCCACTCCACCTGAGCAGACTGTCCGGCTGCTCCAAACCCCCTGCCTCTCCTCTGCCCAGCTGCTTCTCCCCAGTTACGCTGTGACCATCCTGAGGGCAGGGAAAAATCCGGTGACTCTGTATTATCCCTATTCAGATCCAGTACACAGCTCCCCACACAAGAGGCACTCAGGACAAACAATTGTTTCTTAATGACTGTAAGTGGGCACTTCACAGTAACACCAAGAGATTTGCTTCAGAAGTTCTCCAGAGTGTCTGAGACTTTTAAAACACAGTATGACTTGTTAAAAAAGTCATGAATAAGGGCCGGCCCGTGGCTCACTTGGGAGAGCGTGGTGCTGACAACACCAAGTCAAGGGTTAACATCCCTCTACCGGTCATTAAAAAAAAAAAAAAAAAAAAAAAGTCATGAATAACCAAACGTTGTGGAACCATAAGTCAGTTCATGGTTCAACAGATCCCATGCTACTCTCTGTAAAGGAGAAAGGTTATCGAGATGATGGCATTCAGAACTCGTACCAACAGACACCCCACAGTGGGAACCGATAAGGTTGACGTTCATCTCAGCGAGAGCTCCAGCCCGGATCTGATCAAATGCTCGGGTCAAAAAGGCAGCAAAGGTGCTGGCAAAGGCAATGGTCCGGCCACGGTAGGCGCAGCCCAGTGCGACGCTCACCTGCAACTCAAAGAACACGAATGAGAACATCCCTGGACTCCGCCTGGTCACCCCCTCCCCAGTCCCCATGACAAGCAATGTGCACACTCCGCAGTGCTCTGCAGCGCTGGCATGCGCCCTCCCTGCTCTCCGTCCAACCTTCCGCACTTCCTCCCTCCTTCCCCGCACTTCTGCCTCAGACGATGCTGGTGCCCTCACCTCAGCCTCCTGGGAACAAGAAGGGAAGACAGGGGCTCTCTCTCAGCTGCCTGTTCGCTCCAGCGCCCTCCCAGGCCCCAGCCCTGCACCTCTGGAAGGTTCATCCCGAGCCTCGCCCTTCTCTCGCTCTCCCACAGGAATCCCCAGCAGTTCCCCGTCCCCTCCTGTGCTGGATCAACTTCTCCCTTTCTCTCGGCTCATTCTCTTGCTGTTCAAATACATGCTAGCACCTTCCATCTTCACTTCCACCTCCACCGTGTCCTCCCCTCCAGAGACTGCTCCACGCCTACGTTCTCCTTTACCGTAAAAGGTCTCAAAAAATTGTCTACAGTCACTGTCCTGCTTTCTCATCTTCCACTCTCTCCCCGGCCTACTTCACCTAAGCTGCTATCCCCACGAGGAACCTCAAGGCTGCCAAACACAAGAGGTCATCTGACTTCGCACAAGCCTTTAGCACAACAAATCACCCCCTTTTCTCAGGGCGCTTCCTTCTCTAGGTTTCCATGCCATTGCAACAAGACCACGCTGCTGCCTCACTGGATTTGCTGGATCGTGCACCTCTCCTGCTGGGCCCCTGGAGTGAATCCTCATGGCTCCATGCTCACACTCTTCCTCATCTGCTCTGTGGCTCTGGAAGTTGTATGCGGGCCAACTCTCATCTGCATTACAGTGGTGACCCCACCCCCACCGGAACTCTGGCCTCACATACCCCTGTAGGCTTCAAATTAGAATATGAACATCTTCAGGGGGGTAAACAAAAGACTTTCCAAGGGGGACATGGCTGTGGATGGTTTCAAAGTCAAAATCTCTGACTCCATAACAACTCGGTTCTACATTCATCTGACAGATAAAGGGCCCATGGCCTCCTCTCCCACTGTCCCCCTAACGATCACCTACCAGCAACCTGACCCCATGGACAAAGGCATGTCTCGTCCACTTTAATTTTACAGTGGAGTGTAAGACCTCCAGATCAAACTGAAGAGAACAATTTGAAATAATCACACTGCTGTTGAGAAAGTGAGGAATTTGAATATCAAATGACAAATCCTTTTCCAAATCAGGTGGTTCCCAATTCTTTTCGTTCAACATAATTGAAAGACTTACAGACAACTTTAAATGAAAGACCACTATGTGATTTTTGGCTTACAACTGGGAAGGATTTAAAAGAATTAAGTGACATTCCTTCAGCAAAACCTCCATTTCCATCTACTTATTTATGTGAATAAGATTCCTTAGTACTTACATCATTAAAATGAAAAAATAGGAATAGAATCTGTAATTTGTTCAAATTACAAGTATATTTTACCCATTGATATACAAGCTAATAATAATAACCATAGACCTAGAAGAAAAAAATTCTAATGCTCAGAGGCCTATGGGATATAAGAAATTTTAAAACAACTATCGATTTATATGCATGTTTTAGTTGCAGAGAAAAATGATATGACCAGTAAAAGGCTTTCATGCGTACAAAGTACTGGGGAGATGGAATGAAAATGAGGATCCAGGTAGAAAAGGAGATTTAATTTCTGACAAAGTGTCTTGATGTAACCTTTAATTGGATGAGTATTAACTTAAAACATCAAATTTTTCAATTTATGAGTAATTACATCCTTTGTGACTATTTACATTTGTGATTAAAAATTTAGATGTTGGGCCGACCCTGTGGCTCACTCAGGAGAGTGCGGCGCTGGGCCGAGGCGGTGGGTTCGGATCTCATATAGGGATGGCCGGTGCACTCACTGGCTGAGTGCGGTGTGGGCAACACCACACCAAGGGTTGCGATCCCCTTACCGGTCACGAAAAAGACAAAAA